TTTAATTGACCGCCTGCAAAAATAGAGTGGAAACTTTCTGCCATTTATCGGTCATCACCACCATTACAAAAGAAACTTCAATAACTATTACCATATATCTTCAATCTTTGTGATTAGACAGTCCCAAAAGATCAAAAGAATACACAGACAGGTAATGTTTGGTAAGGTAATACTACTCGTATACTTATAGTGTAGATTTATATCCATACTCAAATATCTATTAGATATTAGTGGCTGTATGCCCGAAGTGTTTTTCTTTTCTTTTCCAATTTTTACTATCTATCTATTCGGTGGATTGTCATTGTGAATCGTAAATATCACTCCATCAAGGTTGATATTCACTCAATAAATATCCTACAATCGAAAGAACATTCAAACAAGTTGATATCAGAGGTTTCTTCCTTTTAAAGCAACTGATTCTTGACAAAGGCATCTCACTCAAGACGACCACAGACAGATTGTTGCAGCGCGAGCAATAAGATCGATCAATTAGATCTCACCATATATACTTTTCAATCTCGATAATCCGACTTAGAATACCATCCCCTTTCGCTCCCTAAACTCTTTCGAGCTCATAATTCAAAATGTGTGGTGAGAACATGAAGCAGTTCCTTAAGGAGCTCCCCAAATGTGAGCATCACATTCATATCGAGGGGTCTCTTTCTCCGGCTCTCTTATTCGAACTCGCAAAAACGAACAACATCGCCCTTCCGGACTCTGCGACTGATGCTTCTTTCAAATCCCCTGAAGCACTTGAGTCCCGCTACGAACGTTTTACTTCCCTAAACGACTTTCTCCATTACTATTACATTGGCATGTCAGTGTTGATAAATTCTGCGGACTACGAAAGCTTAGCCTACGAATACCTTACCAAGGCCAATCGTGACGGAGTTCACCATGCTGAAATTTTCTTCGACCCGCAAGCACACACTGAACGTGGAATTGCATACAGCACTGTTGTGGAGGGTCTTTCCGCTGGATTGAAGCGCGCTGAGAAGGATTACGGTATCACCTCGAAACTCATTCTATGCTTCTTGCGACACTTATCGGCTGGGGATGCGAGCACTACATATCAGGAAGCCGTTTCTTTGGGTCACTTCTCAAGTGGAACTGTAGCTGCTATCGGTCTTGATAGTAGTGAGGTTGGATTCCCACCAGAAATTTTCAGAGACATCTATGAATCTGCAGAGACGAATGGAATTCGTCGAACCGCCCATGCTGGTGAGGAAGGTGACACTTCTTACATTTCCAGAGCACTCGACATCTGCAAAATTGAAAGAATCGATCATGGAATTAGGTTGGCCGAAGATGAAAATTTGTTGAAGCGAGTGGCAGAGCAGGGGATAATGTTGACAATCTGCCCACTTAGCAATGTTCGCTTGAGGTGTGTTGAGAATGTTGGACAATTGCCAATTCGAAAGTTCTTGGACGCAGGAATCAAATTCAGCATCAACAGTGATGACCCAGCTTACTTTGGTGGTTACATTCTGGACAATTATGTTGCCGTTCAGGAAGCATTTGGCTTGAATTTGAAGGAGTGGAAATATATTGCAACCAGCGCCATCGAAGGAAGTTGGTGCGATGATGAGAGAAAGACTGTCCTGTTGAGCAAGGTTGACGCATGTGTCAATAAGTATGCAGCATTGATCTGAAGGGAGGAGTGAATAAAGATTTGACAATGGCAATTTCGAGTCTGGATTTTATCGACGTTGGTGCAAATATACTGGTGATGGAGATGGTCACATTCGGTACGCATTTACGTTCAACTTCGATTCAATTTGGTATGATAATGATGAAAGCGCTGGAGTTGAGAACGATATCAAGATGAATACATAACACCTCGCTTCTCCTTTCTACCTCGTGATTTCCTTACCGCTTTCGACACCAAAACACCAATGCTATCTGTGTAGGTTCTTCGCCATCATAATCTCCGTATGTCTCCTGGTATTTGTGCAATTTTCATTTTACTGGACACAACTATGGCTGCCGTCTCTCTTCATCTTACCTTTAATGGGAGAGTGGTAGAAATAGTGAATTCTCTGTATGATGTGATTCACGCGTTAAGACGGTCAGGTGCTTGCTTGCATCATTCGGATTTGCAGCGATAAAGTTATCCAAGGAACGATGGAGCAAAACCCATACTTCTGTCTCCCTTGACAACTACGTTCCAGTTTACACTTGCCATGCTTGACTTTACGACATGGGTGGCGCGGTTTGAATTGCTCTAGCTGCCCTGTAAGTATTCTACCTTTATTGAAACGCCCAAAAATCTAATTCCCTTGAAGCGCAGAGAAACACAAACTCCATGCACAACTCGTCGATTTCACAATCTATCAGATCGAAACTCAGTTCCAGTGGACCGCGATCTTTAACAAATCCACTGAAATGGGAAAGTCTGATTTGAATCCACAAACGCCACCCAAGAAGAGAGTTCGGCCAATCTCCAACCCTCTCTACGATGATGATGAAACTTTCTTCTGCAATATAATCACTCATCATCATCTGCGCCCAGGAGAACAGTTCCCAGCTTTCCCTCGCCTCTACTCTGTATCCTTCGAGCACGAGGCAAGATTTTACCTGGAATGTCAAACCTTCTACGCCTTTACTTTGGATTCCATGAATCCAGAGGAATCTAAGAAATCTACCAAGGATGCACCTTCTCCTTGCCAAGTTGTGGTTCGACCAAAGTCTTACAAGAAGCCTGCTAAATATGATATTCAACCATTGCCACCAATCGATGAGTCCAGCGAATCTATCGAAGAGAGATTGGAACATGCTGGGCCTTCGGTACCTACTCAGACGATTGCTGGGTACGATATTGACCATTCCAATGATGATCTATCATCTTCTATGACATCCTCTCTACATCTAGCTGTACCTCCAACCAATGGAACCCTATCGTTGAGGAATTTTCATCCTCCTGTCCCTCCATTATCTCCAATGTCACAAATGATTCAAGACCTTGAAAATTCACCATCTGGAATACCCGCAGACTCAAATTCAAACAAATCACTTGATACAATCCACGGTAACGAACCGGAGACACCAATTGCTAATTCCAATGGAATTGCATCATTTGGTCACGATGGAATGGGCGTGATTAATATTCACCCCATTTCAACAAACCCCACAGTAAAAGGATTTGACAGTATTCTACTAACTTCACGATTTCCCAATCTGTTATACGACGCTCAGTTCGACAGATATATCAAGAAACCAAATCCTGATGAAAAGGAAAGAGGATCGAGACTCAATGTGGACCTGCAAATCAATGGTGTGTGTGCAAACGCAGATGGGGTCGATGTGAAGGGAGAGAAGGGAAAGATTATGGGTAAATTGGTTGTACTTCCAGAGGTGGCAATCATGAAATACACGACTCCTGAGGGAGCAACGGGAGTGAGATCTTTAAGGATGAAGCCGCAAGTTCAAGATAATGGCTTATACCGAGTAGCCAAAAATGCAACGGGAATTGGAGAAGAGGAAGTTGACGCTAAGAAACATGTGCGAATGGCTTCAGAGCCAGAACGAATAGCAACTCCAGGAGGAGCAGATCAACCAATTGGCAGATTGAGATCTGATACAGAACCAATCAAGAGAATTTCAAGACATCCGTATGCGAATATCTCTCGAAGAATAGAAGATTCCCTGAGTTCACCTCGCCAGGATTCGCGTCGGAGAAAGGCTGGTCCTATCTACTTACCAGCTTGTACCGAGAATGATGATACGAATTCAACTAGACTCTTCATACCCACCAATACACGTACACGAACGCCATCTCCAAGAATCCGTCCGATTCGTCCACCGCCACCGACGGATCGTCCATATCGTTATATCAGTCAACGATCCGTAGACAGCATACCTCGTGTCGATAATCCACCAAGTCAAGATCGTGGTTCGACTGGAGATGATCCTTCTCCAATTGTGGTTGATATCACTTCTTTTGTCCCGCCACAAACAACCATCGCATCATCTACTAGTCGTCCCGAAAGTCCAGTGAGACATATATCCTATACCCTCAACCTCCCCCAAATCTTCTCCTCCCCATCACCAATCGCTCTACCATCTAAACCTCTTTCCGCAGTTCCCGCTACTCCCATCACCAATCCCAATCCCAACTCGCATATCTCATCTATCTCTATCTCCGACCCACAAATAGCTACCGCCAACTCATCCATATACTCCATCTACACCCCCGAATCCTCTCCCCACAGCAGCGGCGTTATCCCTCCCACACTTTCCCGAATCCCCAGTATTCCCTCACCTCCAAATACTCCAAAGGCCTCCCTTTTTCGCTCCAACACAGTCAGCACAATCCCCAGTACCCCCACTAAAACAGATACCGATACACATACTCGACACAACACCAATTCCACATTCGCCTCTAGCATATCATCACCTAACAATAACCCCAATCCATCACCCATAAAACCCAACCCACGTCCCAGCCCTCACACCCACACCCGCACCCTTAGCCAAGAAAGTATCGCATTAACCGAACATCTAGTACGCGAAGGAATCTACGGCGGCATCGTCTACGACATCTCCACCACCAAATCCCCATCCAAATCCCCATCCAAATCCACATCCCAATCCACATCCCAATCCCCAATCAGCAAAAAACCCCAGCCCAACAACCCCAACCCATCTCCCCACTGGCAACTCACCGCCTCCCAACTCCGCCGCAAAAAAAAACGCGCAGCTAAAGTCCTAAGCGCCTCCCTCCGCAAACGAGAAAAAGAAGCGCAGCGCGCTCATCATGTTTCCAGAAATCCCTTGAAAAATCATTCAGAGAAATGTCTCTGGAAACTCGGACTCAGAGCAAAAACGAGGAATGTGAAAGCGGCAGTGCAGAGTCAGAGGGGTAAGGTTAGTTATGTGAAGATTCGGGTGTTTTTGAGGAGGTTGGGGAGGGGGGTTCAGGTTAGGTATCAGGGGTTTAGGAAGAGGGTTGGGGAAGTGGTGGTGGCCCGGGAGAGGATTTTGGGGGCGGTTAGGCCTGAGAGGTGGAGGGGGGGAGTGGGGATGGGGGTCGGGGTGGGGGATCAGTATGATTTTGTTTGTAGGGGGGAGAGTGGGAGTGGAAGTGGAAGTGGAGAGGGAGAGGGAGAAGGTGAAGATAGGAATAAAGATAGAAATAGGGATTGGGTAGATGTGAGGGACAGGGAACCTGAGAGGGCTACACCGGGCATGGAAATAATAGGATAAGAGGATATGGAGCAAGACAAGGACTGACTGAGAAATGAGTGATACCATAAGGTTATATCCGGGATCATCCTCATATATTTCTACTCCTTACATAGGTTCTTCCGTTGGATATTCTCTTTGTTTTTTTGCTTTTGCATTTGTTTTCTGCATTTGCTTTTGCTTCAATTCGAAGCACGCACATACGCACATACGCACGCATGCATGGAATTAGATTAGACTGACTGGTACTGCAATTGCAATTTATGGATTTGGATAACTTGAAGGTCATGCATATGCATATGCTCTCTGGGGCCTGGTTATAATAGGTGAATTTCAGAGGAAGTTAGATCATATTCTTAATCGGATATTCTCTATTAGATGAAATAATACAGTAGTACTCTATATCTATATCTATATCTATTCTATATCTATTCTATTCTATTCTACTCTGCTCTAAACTTTAATATGAAGATACTAGCCTGAGTATACTCGTAGATGAATATAAAAATAAAGATAAAAAATACTAGTAAAGAAGAAATTCAAAACTTTAAGAAAGGAATATTAACTTAACTTGAATAGAGAAAATAAATGAGATGAATACTCGAGTGAGATTAAAATAAGAGAAAAGAAGGATATCTTAAGAGTCTTTCTATTTTATTTCATTGCCTTGATTTGATTTATTACATTGTTCCAAATAAGACCGTATACTCGAGTATTGTATTATATTATATTATATCATATCATATCATGCTATGCCACGACAAGTTACAATAAGATACAATTGCCCCGCCGACCAAAAGCTTATTTTATATCACATCATTCTCGTTTGTTTTAATCCATCCATCCATATCATCAACCCCATCAACCCCACCCACAAACTCAAAACCCATCAGCAGCCTCAGTCAACACCTCCAACAAACCCACCGCCGCACCCCCCAACCCCACAGCCGTCAAATGATCTCTCCATCTACTACCCGTCGTCTGTGTCGGTGCCTTTGAATCCTTTCCTTGCACACCCCTACCTCCTCTTCCTCCCTCTCTCGATTTATTATGCGAGTAGGAGTCTGAATACGCGAGGTTGCGATCGCGGTCGCGATCTCGATTTCGATTTTGGGAGTGCTGTGATTGATGGGGACGGCGACGATGAGGGTTGTAGTTGGGGTTGGAGGGTTTATAGGAGGGAGAAGAAGAGGAGGGAGAAGAAGAGGAGGGAAAATATGTTGGGGAGGAGGGGGAGTGCGGGGAGCTGGAGTATGCTGGGTAAGGTTGCGGGGAAAGGTATTGGTGGGGAGGAGGGGGATAGGGGTATTGTTGTGGTGAGGAAAATGGGGATCCTTGGGAGTATTGTTGACCTTGGACTGGGTAAGGAGGTTGTGGATGTGAATAACCCTGTTGTGGAGGAAGTGGAGGAGGTGGGTATCCTTGTGGTGGTTGATTTGATCCGGGTATATTCCAGGGATGGGGCGTGTTATCTGGACCTGAGTGTGGTGAGGTTGAGAATGGTTGTGCTTGGGTTTGAGAGATAGAGGGTGGATATGGTGCGGTGGTGGGGGTGTAAGTATAAGATGGTTCGCGATCCCTTTCTCGTCTATCCGTGCGCTCACGTCGTTCTGATCTCTCTTCTCTATCTCTTCTGTCACCTCGTTCTCGTCGACATTCTCTGTTGTACCCTTTTCTATTTTTGCCATTCTGATCTCTCCTCTTACTTCGCCGCTTGTCATTGTCTGAATCGGAGGTGGTATCTGAACTACAAGAAGAACTATCAGACGAAGACGAGTTTCGTCGTGTTCTCGAAGTCCTTTCCCTTCTCGATCTTTGCTGTGGGCCGATCGATGCTTGATGATGTCTACGCCATCGTTCTTCCCTCAAGACGTGGGAGCGAGAAACGTAATCTTGGATTTCTTCTCTCGTAAGAATGCCTAATATTGCTACAAAATCCGGACGGCTATGAGAATTTGTTAATATAATTGTACTTCATAATTGTGACAAGGACAGGTGAGTAATAACTTACGCTTCATACCGTCTTCCATCCTGATTCAAAACTTCAGGCGATATCAAAGATCTCTTAACCTTTGTCCATTTTGCATCAGGAGGAATCTCGTTTCCATATGAATCAGGTGCAAGCCTAGTAGTAGGCATAGATGAATCGGGTCTTGGACTAATTCCAGTAACAGGTGTGGTAACTTTTGGTGAGGATTGGTGACCAGGAAGATCAAATCGTACGCCGCTTGTACGTGGCGATGATCCTTTGAGAGAACTTCGTTTTGGTCGAAGAGCAATAGATCGTGTTGCTTCGTCTGAGGGAGAGTGATAGCTCGATGGAGATGCTGGGGACAGAAGTTGTGAGGTTGCGGGGAAAGGAAGGAGGAGAAGATCACTAGTTTGAATTATCAAGCCATTGGATGGAGATTTCGTCCGATGTATAGATGACGTATCAGATACTGATCCTGAGCCGCTTGTATCCTTTTGAGATTTTGGTTCAGTAAAATCCGTAGTGGAGATTTTTGGAGTTAAGGGTGGGGATATTTGACGACGAATATGCGTCGATTGTCTTTCGTATTGCCTTTCGGAATATGGATCCAAATGAGACTCAGGTTTAGGTCTTTCCAATTTCATTGATGTTGTGAATTTGATATTGTCTTCTCGCTGTATCATTTCTTTTGCTCCACTGTCACCACTCCCGATATTGATAGAATCGAATGAAGGTGGTTGTCCACGATATGATTCGGAATGTGTAGAGTCAATCCAACGTTCGCTATAAGGACTCACTGGGCTGGCCATCCGAGACGTAGGTGGTTCTTCGACAAGTAAACCATCTTGCTCCATCTGTCTGATATACGCTCTTAGGACATCCTGGTAAAGTATTAGTAACCATTGTCCTACCACAATTAGAATATTCAAATACCTTATGCTGTTGCAAGACAGTACTAGAAAATCCCTCCGAGATGAGTTCCCTCCTGAATTGTTTCCAAACTTCCTTATCATCGTCCTCATAAGTTGTCATCAATGTTCCATCCTTCTGGCTCATTCTCGCCGCAATATGATCTACCTTGTCCAGAATGATATCCAAATGTTCCCCCTGTACATCCAAATTCTTTGCCATCTTTCCATTCTCATGTAATTGTATGTTGTCCAAGAATAATGTCAAACTCGTCTTATGCGATATTAACTTTACTCTGATCCCACCCAATTGATCCATCTCATCACTTCCATACCACATCCTATCCCGCGAAATCTTACCACCACCATTTCCACTTCCATCCCCCTTAAACGACCTTTCATATTTTGACAATAATCCATCAAGTTGCTTCAGGGTAAAATCGCAATCCCCAATGATTGGTGCCAATTGTATTCCCCAGATACTTGGGTCCTTATTGAGTGGAGAATCCTCGTCTCCAACTTCGGATTTCAAATGTTTAAGAACGGTATGTAAACCACGGACTTCTCGACTGGTTTCATCATATTCACCACCTGCCGATCGACATTTGCGATATAATTCGCGGCAGAAGGTTACCACAATTATGATATCTGAAGGAGATGCACCAAAACTCATCTCGAAGGTTCATGTATGAATTTTAGATTTCAGGATGAGAGGGAGCGATGGACTATAAAGTCATGATAATATGTAATTGTGGCAATGTAGATTGAGATATTCGATGTGTTGTATATCTGCTGCAGTAAAGTGGACTTTGTTATCCCGATGTAACCACTTGGTGAATATGTTACTCCCGATGTTACCCCCGCAATATGTTCTATAATGAGGTCTGGATGCCGAAGAAAAGGTGTTTACTTTGATTTATTTGTTAACATATGATTTTATGTGGATATAAAGTTTCAAGAAGGACCATAGAAGTATATTAGAAGGAATTATTAGTAAAGGATAAATGGAGGCTGAGCTGAATGAATAGGTAACGATTTAAAGTAAGTATGAATACGGATATGTATGGATACGATAATACAATACGGATACCGGACGATTGTGACGTCGCGGATGAAAACATTAGACAAATCAGACTAATATTAACCAGACAAACGGCTGATAAAATTTAAGAAAAAGTGGAGAATCCTTGGCTATAAACTAAACAGGGCTGTCTATTTGGTTGCCCGTGAGAACCGAATTGCTCAAAATTCCCATAGAAACAACAATATCATGAACTGGGTGGCGCAGTCAACGTTGCGGCAAACCGGTGTTCTAACATATCCACCAAGTTATACTTTGAGAAGTCTGAGCCTCAGTATGCAGGGAGAAGAACAAGGCGTTCAACAGGATGAATTGAACCATAAACAATGATAGGATCGCTAATGATCAACGTTTGTAACAGTGACACATTACATGTACATTACTTGACTGTGCATGAAGGACTAGAACTCATACGGTAGATAGGTGATATGTGGAGAGTGGCTAGTGGGCAACTCCGGTTTTATATTCCTTCCAACCAATCATTAAACTGTAAATCCTATCACAAGACAATTCTTTCTCGAGTATATTTCCCAACCTGTTTACTCTTGAGTTGACCGATATCTCTCTTACTTCTCCTTTGAATTTCTCCTCCAGCACCAACACGAAGACGTGAAATTTGTCGCTCTGCCTTTAGACCAATTGGTAATGTGGAGAGATCTTTCTCTCCCGAGGGAAGAGTCAATATTGAGTTGGCCATTCGTCCTGTATCGTCATGTCCAATACCCTTGAGCACAGATTCCCCATAACGAACCATTTCAGATGTCAGACCCTTCAAATAAACGGCTGTCTCAATGCCTTCTAGGGCGGCACTAACTTCCATCTTCAAAGTCCCAATGAATGCTTCCGACTCGGTTTGATCGCCATTGACCAGTCTAGCGTTGCCGGTTAACCATCCACCGGCGGCGAGAGTATCAACGCAATTGTTGAGCAAGCTGGAAATGAGGATGATAGAATTATCCGGAGCTTCAATCTCGTCATCATCCAGTTCCATGATGTCAAGATATCGACCAGTCCATCCACCTTTGGCCAATTCAACTCTCAGAATATAGATTAGTGACACCGTCTCTTGGCTTGTAAAGGTTGTTTGAAGGGCTTCCGTGATGCTGCTGTCTGGACAGGTATACAGTTTCGACAGTGCCACATTCAAGGCTTCACCTCTGACATCAGAACCTTCTCCTAATTGAAACTCGGCAAGTTGTAGATCATCCTCGGCCTCGGCTTCAAGCTTTTGTACTTCCTCCTCAACATTACCATTCTCCAGTTTTGCGTCTTCTCCGATCGTCAATAATGCTTGTTTTGGGCTTGAAGAATCCCCAATTTCAAACAAATCCATGGTTTCCATCAAGCTTCGAATCGCATGGAGAAGCTCAGCCGCTCCAAGTAAATTGGAGGAAACAAGCTGGAGCAACAATTCCATTTCCCGGTCCAACTTCACAATGGCATTGACGAGCTCCCCAGCAGGAATTGGGCCGGAAATGGAAGCTCGAATTTCCTGTCTTAACGCAGACTCGATGTTGAGAATTGTCATATTTCCTGTTTGGAGCAACCACCGGAAAAGTCTGGGAGGGTAGAAAACAATAGAAAGCTCATAGACTCCTTCGAGATCGTGAGACCAGCTGAAAATCTTACTCAGTGCATATAGTATCCATCTGCGATCGACTTCAGAAGGTTCTATTCTCGCAACCTTTGTCTCTGCATGACTTTCGGATGATTCGGTGCTCCAATCTTGATCAAATTTATTACCCAGACACTTTTCGAACCCTGAAGTATCTCTATCTTTGACACACCTCTCAGGTTCTTTCGTTATATATATCCATGCGTCCTCTTTCATACCCATTGATCCGGGTAGATAATGATCCACGAAAAGCCATTTACCGTGGGATGGCTCCTTTCCTGGCTTAGAGCGTACCACTTGTGGATCCGAGCAGCCAAGGGAATCAATTAGTAGTCCAATCGCTCGAGATTTTGATCCTTGGCCGGGTTGTAAATCCACTTGAACGGCAACGAGCTCATTGTCTGAGATAGCCAGGGCTGTTCCGAGCTTAGGGTAGTAGGATATGAATTGGGCAGGACTATCTAATCGTGGCCTCTGCTTATCATCGGAGTCTCGCTTCCGCTTAAGTGAATCTTTGTCCGCCTCATCATCTACCTTGATCGTAGCTAAGATGGACTCATATTTTGGATTGAGAATGCTAATAGCCTGTTGAGTCGACATGATAATGGAAGTACTTGAGAGGCGCAGAAATGATCCGGTACCAGGAGTACTGATCTCGGATTGGATCTTTGGGAATGTGTCATGTAAGTCTAATGTGGTCAACACTTCTGCTTCTAGTATTTGCAAAATACCGGCGGACACGTTGATGCTGAACGAAGCTTTCCCAATCGTTATTTTCTTCTTTGGGGCTGTATGAATTGGTAGAGGTGCATCCAAAAGAGATTCGACCGAATGTATTATGCCATTCAAATGTGTAGTTGCCTTCCTTGGTAATGCCACGATATGTATTGTTCTCACAGTCTCCCCAGCTTCCTGCACATTTGACTTCGTGATCACAATTATTATGTCTGGATTAAAGCCATCCTCAGTCACCTCTTGTGGAAATACTGCGAACACATCCTGGCGACCTTTTAAGATTCCTTGGCCGGCGGAATAAGCATTTGTAATGTGGGCATATTCTACCTCAATGTTCGTCATTGACATTGATGAAGCTCGACCGAGGGCAGTGGCAGGCGAAGACCATAATAACTGGAGGTTTTCGCCGTCTAAACATTGTATTTCACCGTCCTTCTTTACAATCACTATATCCGACTTTTTGATCGCATCCAATCCCGAGGAGGCTAGAGCACTCAAATGAACCACCGGCGCTTTCGATTGGCTGATCTTATGTGCGATTGTCGTCGATTGCGCTGTGCTATTCCCTTCCGTGGTGTCGTGGAATAATGTGACTTGGTCCTCAGAGCCGGATGTCGAAACATACGTTCTTCGTTCAGTTTTGGTTTTCGTAGTTTTCGACCTGGAGGAGTATGGCGGGCAAAAAAAAGAAGTGCCAGGAGGCAGAGCGTAGGAAGTAAGTAATTTTGAAGAGGATACCTAAGGAGCCATTAGTCTCTTGAGAAGAGTTAAGATGTCCCTCCATAAACTTACATCGTATAAATTAACACCTTCTCCATGAATTCCAACAGCTAATTCTGACCTCTTTCTTTTTTTTGATCCAGGTGAACCACCGTAGACTTCTCCTACTACATATTGCGCTTGTTTCGATCGCGGGAGAGTAGCAACCACATATGGCTGCTGTAAGGATATTCTGGACGACATTTTAACAATTGGAATTAAGGCGCAAACAATTCCAATGTATTGAAGATTGAATTGCAAGTTTGCGCAAAGTACTCGAGTAGAACCAAAGCTCTGAAATTTCTCTAAGCGGTGAAATTATTCTGCCGGACATAAAAAACTTTTATGCACACTAAGCTCTTTCTATGATGAATAATAGTTAAAGTGCAAGTCAATAGAAACGCGGTTCCCAACATCACCTCTTGATACTAAGAATTCACTACACGTTGATTTTTGCTTTGGATTGTTTTTCCTCTCTATCTCAAAATTTATATTCCACATTATCATTCTATTCTCAATCTTCTTACACAGCTTATGACTATTTTCCTATGTCATTGAAATCATCATATAAGGTTTAGGGTGTGCCAAAACGCGTGAGGTTCGTGTTTAACCACTTCCGCTTGTCGCATGCATATGGCGGTATTGGTCTCAAAAGCCATGACTCCTCTCCAAGAGGAGGGGCAGGAAAAGACTGTACATCCATTCTTTCAAAAGCCATTGAGTATGTCTTCTTCCGATAACTCATTGCAAGCGTTACATCATGGCGCTGAAAGGGTCAAAACTGATCAGATTTCAGAACCGATTCAGTCCCAATCAGTCCAAACCCGAACCGAATCAGAGACTGAGAAGACATCGGAACGAGGTCAGAGGAAGAGTGAAAGAAAAGGAAAACCACCAATTGCGGGAACTTCAGACTCATCTAAAATTACAAATGGAGAAAAAGCAGATCTATTGGAGATTGATCCAAATGAAGGTAGGAGGAAACGTCGAAAGACAATATCTCCAGAGGCTGGAACAGAGGTGGAGATAGAAGGACCGACAAACATTACGCCTACCAAGGCACCGAAACAATTGCGAGCATCGAAGCGTAAACAAACTATCCCGACCAGGCAAAATGATGTAGATGCGCCCATTCTGGCAACATCTACATCTCATGGAACACTCTTCAACATAGAAGCCTCAACACCACCCAAAAACCATTCGATCGCGGAACCTTCGTCTCGAATCAAGCCCTTGGAAGATATTTCGGATACCAGAGTGTTTTTGGGATCATCTGCGGGGGATTCCACAAAATCGTTCTTTGATGAAAACCTGAAGCCTAAAAAGGTCCTACAATTCAATCCAAAAACTGGCACTATAGGATCACCCCCCAAGAAACCTGTTCCCCCGAAAAAGAAAGGAAGGGGCAAAAAGTCTGCAGCTGATGAAAAACCAAAATCGCACATCATTGTCATTGGCTATGGCCGTGGACAAACCCCAGCTTCTGAAACTGGTTCTAAGATAGAGAATATTCTCAACGACATTGGAATCCTTACATTGAACCCTGAATTAACTTTGCCAGACGTCAAGGATACAAAAGAGATAATATCAAGGAAAGGAAATGGCGTGAATGTTGTCCCGTGGTGGAAGACAGCAAAGAAGAAAGCACCTGTAGAAGAAGTTCAGGAACCTTCGAAGTCACAACCAGTGGACCAAGGAAGGAGATCTCCCTCGGGTAAACCACCATCACCGTCAAATATTATATCCACTTTTGGTCGACCTCGTTCAAATGAAGTCAGACAAGCCCCGCCAATTTTTGGGGGCTTCGGAGCGGCTCCCAAAACCCCTAGATTTCCCGGCGCCACTGAGCCAGCTTGGCCATGGTCTGGAATGGTACATGTACGTGGAGAAAGAGACGAGGAAATTTCAAGCAGTCCCTCGACCAGCACGATGGGTGGGGTTTCTTGTAAGAAAGGAGCGAAATATCAAGCAGTTGGAATCGTTAAGGATGAGGATATAATTAACAGTATTGCGGCGGAATTGCGAATTGACGATGCAATCAATAGCATCCAAGACCTTCATATTGATGACTTTGCTCCCGTTTCCCCTTGTATTCGAGTACCGTCAAAACACATCGAAACAGGTCCGGATCTCCAGCGTCGGGTTCGAAGAGAACTTGTCTCCAAGCTGAGCAAGCCAGTTATGTACGAAGATTCAAGCGATGACGAGATTCAAAAACCGGATACAAATCGCTCAAAAGCTCATCCTGCTCTTAATAATGTTTACAACTCAATCGCGACTTCACTATCAGCATTCGATAAGGCCGGGTGTGAGAATCAATCCTGGACGCAGAAGTATGCACCTAAAAGCGCGGAGGAAATCTTACAAGCTGGACGAGAAGCCCTTTTATTAAAAGAGTGGTTGCAGAAATTGACGGTGAAGTCAGTAGAATCAGGTTCTACGGAGAGTAAATCCACAAAGAAGTCTGCATCATCAAAAGCGGAATTACTTGGAAAGAGGAAGCGAAGATCTAAGAAGCTAGACGGTTTTGTCGTTTCAAGTGGGGAAGAGGACAACGACATGGATGAAATAACAGAACCAGAAGATGAGGATTTGTTAGGAAGCTCGGGTCTGGCCAAGAAAACAGTCGTACGATCTGGTGATATGATTGCGAAAGGTTCTAAAGATTCTAAGCGCCTCGCCAATGCAGTGGTTATGAGTGGACCACACGGATGTGGCAAGTCTGCCACCGTCTTTGCTGTTGCAAAAGAGCTTGGATTTGAAGTATTTGAAATCAACCCTAACTCTAAAAGGAGCGGGAAAGAAGTCATGGACAAAGTTGGAGATATGACTCGCAATCATTTGGTCCAAAGATCCAAAATTGACACAATACCCATGAGTACGGATTGTGACGAAGAACGTCTATCTAATACCATAGCCGAGGATTTGAAAAGCGGTCGTCAGGGTACCATGAACTCATTCTTTAAATCCAAAGTACCAACGAAGCCGGAACCAAAGGTCAACGACGTTAAGCTAGCCGTGCCAAAACCGGAAGTCAGTAAGGACACGATCGTACCAAAAGGGCCACCAAAGCAACAAAAGCAGTCCTTGATATTGCTTGAAGAAATTGATATTCTATACGAGGAGGATAGAGGATTTTGGCAAACGGTTATGCTTTTAATCGCCCAAAGCAAACGACCAATTATCATGACTTGTAATGATGAGGCTGCGGTACCAATACTAGCTCTATCCTTACATGCTATCATACGCTTTACTGCAGTGCCTACCGATCTCGCCGTGGACTACATGCTACTTGTAGCTGCTAATGAAGGCCATGCCATTCGCCGCGAGGCGGTGAAGGCTTTGTATGAGAGTCGAGGATCGGACCTACGTGGGTCTTTGACAGAACTAGAGTTCTGGTGTCAATTTGCTATTGGAGATCGGAAAGCTGGGATGGAGTGGTTTTACCCTCGCCTGCCTTTGGGATGCGATCTAGATGAACATGGTGAAAAGTACCGCGTTGTTAGCGAGGGTACCTATCACACTGGTATGGGCTGGCTGTGTCAAGACACTCTTGAAAACCAGCGTCCTTACATTAATATCGAGGAACAAACCTTGCATGAATCTTGGGATGGTTGGGGTATTGATATAGGCAATTGGCAACGAAATCTGGACATTAGTACTTGGGCGAACAAGATCAAAGATTCTGCCGATGACCGGGCCAGTAAACGAGCTGCTTTGGCTATGTACGACGATTTTGCCGAAGCTATGAGTGCTACAGATTGCTTCTCACATTATAGCTTCGGTGCAGACAACCAGGTAAATCTTATCCCATCAGAATCTTATATATTTCACACTAATGAGAATAGGTTATCAATGATGCTGGTCATCCAAAACTGTCTAGCAAAGCGAGAGAAGACTATACACTCGCAAATCCATTACTTGACGTATCACCCCAAGCTATCCATGACAAAACAAGTATCAATATATCTTTATGGATGAAGTCTCGAGCTAGGGAAGTTCTCCAAATTCGTCAACATGTCGAACATGGTTGGGAAATCCATCGAGGACTTGATGGGCCGACCGAGAAACAAGTTCTAAACCTCATCCGATCTCAGTCATGTCCCGATAGTAATATTATCACTCGCCGTGATTTCAGCCTGGCATTTGATCCTATTGCAGAGGCCGAAAAGGCATATGTTTGGACTACCGGAAACCTTGAAGCATCGTGCTTTGATCGAACCATGAATCTCATTGTACTCGATGTCGCTCCTTATGTCAGATCTATCGTATCCTACGATGCGCGTCTACAGAAAGATCGAGTTCGCCTCAGCAATCTTCTCAGTCAAGGTGGAAATACAAAGGAACCGAAAGTCAAGAAGATGAGAACAACTCGAGCAGCTATGTCAGCCCTCGAAGGAGGTACAAGGAGTACGACCAGGAAGGAAAAATATTTCAGTCAGGATATCAATCCATATCTAGTCCTCAGGACTGGTTCACAGAGCTGGTTGGATGCAGCCATATCTACCACAGCAGGGACGGATGAAGGAAGTCGAAGATCGAGTATACAGATGTCGGATGGAAATATGGATATTGAGAGTGGACAAGATGAACTTATAAACTAGAACGGTAACAAGGGCTATTCTCGATCAAAAGGTCACCTTTGCATGGCATGCATGGTGTGGATTGGATAGCATGTATATAAGTAGACATTTGCATTTGGGCTATGGGCTCTTTGGAGAAATGGTTCGGAGCAAAGATGAACTTGGCATATATGATGGGATGGTAGGATAAAGGTATAGCACGCATAATTCCAAGACGGTGAATGAATATAAATGAATCATTGTAACATGATTGCAGTTGTTCTTTTGCTGACCGCTCGAATTAAGAAGCCCAGAAATGTTCAATTGTAAATCCACCTCAAGTCGCAGTAAGATGTGATGTACCAGTAGTAATGAAATTTCAACACTTCCTACATAACCACTCTAGTATAAACACCTTGAACTGAGTCATTGTACTAATATGTTTCTCATATTTTTCTCCCTTTCCTTTCCTCTCCTTTCCTATTCCTAAGATGTTCCTCCAGACTTCACGCAAAGCCTTGATATGATCTGGTCACGTGTTTCATTTGGGTCATGACTAGCGCCTTTTTAGTTCGGCACACACAAGCCCTAAATTCGAAAATCCATCCACCTCTATTGAATTGTTTTTGTGAGGAACAACCATTCTTTCACGACAACACCAAACCGACAAAATGGCACCAGCAAACACCGGCGCAAAGAAGCAAAAGAAGAAGTGGTCCAAGGGAAAGGGTGCGCATCAATTTTACCTTGGAATTTCGATTGAAAACTGATGAAGTATCAATATAGTCAAGGACAAGGCTCAACACTCGGTCATCCTCGATAAGTCCACTTCCGACAGACTTGCCAAAGATGTTCAATCATACCGTCTCGTCACCGTCGCTGTCTTGGTTGATAGATTAAAGATCAACGGATCTTTGGCTAGAAGATGTTTGAAGGAGTTAGAGGAGAAGGGACAGATCAAGATCGTCGTCAAGCATCACGCCGGTGATATCTACAGTACGTTTTCACACTTCGACATTACCCCACTTCAACAATGCGCAAAAACTTTCGAATTTGTCTCCGTCGAGTGAAACAACAGAACGATATTTGGGGAATTTTTTGTGGAATTGGTATTGAGAAAACAAAGCTAACAAGACTTTCTCTTTTACAGCCCGTGCTATCCAAGCCGACGAGTAAAGAAATCCAATAATCCGAAAACTTCAAAACGACAAAGACAATACACGATGATCATGGCTTCGTCTTCGGAATAATCGACCTCATTACAATGATGCGTTGTGCGTGGACGTTTGGCATGAAATATCCGGATGGGTTTATACTATGACTTTCCCTCGGGCTTGCTAGGAAAGGCAGGCAGGTGTAGCATATCGAATTCAGCCTTCTGCTTATTGATACCATTTGATGGGACTTCGTATACCTTTAAGAAGTGATTTACAACTGTGATTGTGAAAGTGTAGACTGATGTGAGCGGAGCGGATGCAGGATAGTGCGAGTGCGAGTACGATGGGAGGCAAAGTGTAAGACATCTCAGCCTCTGGTATCATGTCAATTATCAATTCGTGTTCCATGAAAACCTAATTGCAAATCTATTATTAGTGTTTCCCCCTGCTCAAGCTCTCTTCCCGTCCACCCCAATGCTAAATGTGATCAAATCCTCAAATCCAATGACGACGTACCCAGTTGCAACTTGCGACCGAGGCTAAATTGCACAGGCTGTAATTGTACAGACCCGTAACTTCCCCATATCAATCTATTTCGAACGAAGCTGCCACATATCAATCTTCTTTCTTTACTTCTATCACTCCATCTCTCTTCTTTTTCCATACCGTACACAAAACTCACTTATTTACCACCCAAAGATGGCAGACATAAGTGCCCTCCGTGAACGCCGAAAGGAAGCTCCCACCGATGTTCTCTCCGATGATATCCCTCTCACCCAAACCACCACCAACATAACATCCTCTTCCCCAGGCGCCGAAAAGAAAGCTAAGAAATCTCTCAACAAACTGGCGTCGGATGAAGATTCAGCACCTTTCTCACTGGTGGATCTCTTGAGATCGTTGGTGTTTCTCACAATAGCGAGTTGTGGGTTGAGCTATGTGGTTACGAGGAATAGCTATGTGTGGGGTTTGAAGAGACCGAATTGGATGTATGGGCAGGTTATAATGGGGTTTTGGGTAAGTGATTTGCTGTTTTGAGGGGGGGGGGCGGGGAAGAGGTTTGGCTGTGAGGATGGGGCGGGGAGTATAGATGGATGGATGTATGGATAGGTGGATGGGATGGGAGAAAGATATCAACAGCTAACACCAATAACCCCCTCCACAGAACGGACCCCTCCAACTCACCGACGCCGATCTCCCGCAGTACGACGGCACGAACCCAGATCTCCCCATCTACCTCGCCCTCAACGGCACAATCTACGATGTCACGGCCGGTCGTAGACACTATGGTCCGGGAGGCAGCTATCACTTTTTCGCGGGAGTCGATGCGACAAGGGCGTTTGTAACGAATTGTTTCGAGGTGGATCGCACGCCGGATTTGAGAGGTGTGGAGGATATGTTCTTGCCGGTGGATGATGAGGAGGTGGATAGGGAGATTGTGGAGAGAGTTGGTGCGGGGGGAATGAAGAAACTGAGGGAGAGGGAGGCGAGGGAGGCGAGGAGGGGGGTTAGTGAGGCGTTGGGTCATTGGATTGGTGAGTGCTTTTTTTGAGGGGGGTTTTGTTATGGAAGTGGTGGTTGTATTTGGATAGGGGGGAGGGGGGAGGAAAATGAGACGGGATGGTTTGGCTAATGTGGTGTTTGTGAATATATAGGTTTCTTCGAAAACGGCGGAAAATACCCCAAAGTGGGAAAAGTCAAGAGAGAAAATGGATGGGAGACGAAAGGTGAAAAACCAGTGTTGTGTGAAAAGGCGCAGAAGGGAAGGAAGAAGAGAGTGGTTCCTGAAGGTGGTCTTTGAGTGTTGTTTATGAGAGAGAGTATGGACGGGAGGTTATGGTACCGGCATGATCTATTTTCTACTACTCGGTAGTACTTGCAATGGTGCATTCGTTGCGTGTGTATGTACTATGTACTATGTACTACTGATTATATACTCGAGTATGTACTTGTAATATTATCAATACAATACAGTACTCGGGAGGATATCATCATCATACACCTCTCGTCGTTGCTTCATTTCTTAATTCCTTAATTCGAATCGAATCGAATCAATAGAGTATGAATATGAGTATAGCATCCAAGACGAGACAAGAAGAGACGAGATGAATGCCTACCGGTATCTCTATCTCTGTATTGGAACAAAACAGAATCAAGTATATATGTATGTGCGTATGTATGACGATAGATTGAAGAGAGTGTGTTGGGTTAGGTTAGATTGGGTTAAATTGGGTTGGTTTAGATGTTTTATATAGTCTGGGATGTAAGATTACGAGTTTATGCACAGATGTGAGTGTAGATTGAGGGATGGTGGAAATAGGGAGTAGGATAGGATGATTGAGGGGTTATGAGGGTAGGAGGGTAGGAGGGTGTATGGTGGTAAGGTGTTTATTATAGTAGTGATTAATGAGTTCTTATTATATGTTGTATACCTATATGTATTGAGTATATGTTTGTATATATTTCTTTTACTTTCCTGTTACTCGGTTTCCTGTTACTATTCTTTGTTTAGGTGCTTTGTACCCGAGTATATACATCTGTGTGGTATTAGTTCAGTATGTTTCTTAGAAAGAGAGAGAGAGAGAGAGAGAGAGAGAGAGAGAGAGAGACCTTTATCTTATTCTATTTGGTTAGTTGGTTAGTCAGTTAATTTATCCAATTATCTGATTAATTAGCTATGTTGTGGTTGGTTTGTTGGTGTTGGTTGAAATAATATTTGTATGTTTATATGCTTATAAGAATCAAGGTGAATAAAGGATGAATGATGAGTGATGATATGAGATGAAAGTCCGGATATTAGGTTACTGGTTTAGTTGCTGGTTGTGGAGCACTAATATATATATTTGTATTGGTATTGGTATGCGGTTGATGTGGATACGGGGGGGTGAGAGGAAAGGGAGGAGGGAGGAGAGGAGGAAGAGAGAAGAGGAAGGAAGAGAGAGGGGGTAATAGGTACGGAATAGATACAGATATAAACGATAAGTATGAAGGGGGTATATTTGATATCCGTTAGTGGGTGGGTAATGGGGGCTCAGGGATAGGCCATATCGTTGTTTGCTTGGGAGCGGGGGAGGGTTGATAGGGTTGATGAGGCCGATTGCCAGTGATTAGAAGATGGCTAATGTGAAAATCTGAAAATAACTTGGATGGATATAAGTTGATGATATGGCTTGGAACTGAATTTGAATCGCTAAATAGCTAGGTTTAGAGGGGGGGGGGGGGTTGGAGAAGTAGGAGATGGGTTTCTGTTATAGGTTGGGGTAGGATTGTGGATTGATGGATAGGATTTTGTATGTTTAGATGGGTGAGATATGATTGATGGTTCTTTTATTATGTTTTGTTATATAGTGCAGTGAAGTCTGTTGAGTATACTTGAGTATAGTTTATATCCCTCGTCAACACAAGATATGAGATACCTCACATCTAAACCTACTACTCGTATAAGTTGATCAAATAATCAAGGGTCATATACTAAAGTTTAAAGTAACATTGAAAACCTGATATTTTAGCATAGGGGAAATTGATTGATATACTTTACATTATGTCTAGGAAACAGTTGGAGTTAGATACAGGGGTCGGTACGGGATTTAGAGATGAATATTAGTAGACGAGATAGCTTGAGGAGGCAAGACTCGGAGGCGAGTTCCTGTTTCATGTATTATTGATACTCTCTGTATTTGTGCTCGAGTATATGTGGGTGAGATAGGAATACTGTATGTGTATTTGTGATAGCGATTCGATTTTGAGTTTCTAGTAGGTGGAACTAGTCGGTGAATTGGTGAACTGTTAGATTGTGAAGGGGTGAGTTATGAAGGGGTTGAGTGGGTGGGAGATATGGATATGGATATGATAGAGAAGTAAGAGTGAAGGTGAAGGTAAAGGTGCTCATGACTATTGATTTGAGTCTATAGAGTGAATGATTATAGTACGGAACGGAACGGGATGGGAAGTGATGAGATGAGATGAGATGAGATGGACGGCATGGAATCTTTCAGTGCTTGATACTAGGCTATACAATAAGAGTTCAATATTTAAGATAGTGTTGAGTAACGAAAATACCATTCGAATGGGATAGGATGGGAGTATTTCAATTGTTAGAATAGGTGGAATGATGGGGATTCAATACTTGAGATAATAGTGTGGGAAAACGAGATATAGCGTTCGAATGGAATGGGATGGGAGTATTTAATACTCAAGAATATATGGAATAATCGGGGTGGAATATTCAAGATACTGTTATACAATGAGAATGATCATTGATTATTCGAATAGAATGGGATGGGAGGATTTAAAGCTAGAGAAGGGATAGAGTATTCCGATCAATGAACGGTTTATATCGAACGATATCGGTGTGCTCTAAAGAGAGGGACATGATATACGCCGGTCCTGGTGATGATAGTGATAGTGATAATAGTGCGGGTAAATGAAGTGAGGTGAAGTGAAGTGAGGTGAGGTGAAGTTGAGGTGAGGTGGAATTCTTCACCAACACAATAGAGAAAACAATTTGAAGGATGAGTGCCACCTTTCTCAAACTCGAATTCGAACTCAAAGTCTCTTCTTCATCTGATTCTCATTACATACGTGCAATGCAAGTCAAGTCAAATCAAGTTGAAACATTGAACATCGGAGTCCCAATGTAGTATCATCATCAGCCTTATAAAGAAAACAACGCCTATTCCATACCATACATAACATAACATACATACTATACCAATAACCAGCCAGCCCAACTAGCTAGCTAGCATTCAATCTTTCCCAATACTCACTCACTCACTCATGTCATTTTTCTCCGAAACAAAATTCAGATAGCCTAGCCTGATCCTGCTACAGCCTATAAATAGAAACACAATTTGATTTTCCCCTTGGTACGGTACCGGTACAGTACTACCGGTATTCCCTTCCTCCTTGATTACACTCCACTTCACTCCACTCCACTTACTATATCTTCAGCCAACCAACCAGGTAAATCTTGATGTGATATGAACCAGCACAATACACATACATGATTCAACAAGACCGCGCAACAGACAAGAATAGATCGAGTCTGCCTTGGCTCGAGCTTGCTCTACTTGCTCAGCTTCAGCTCGACAGGGATTATTTGGTTGTTTGGAAGTGGAAGAAGTGGATTGGATTAGACCAGATGCCAGATGGGGATAAAGGGTTAGAGGAGGCCTGGGAGGAAAGGAAAGATTCGCTGTATGTTGTTGGGTCTGTGCTCATACTCATGCTATATTTTGATTTGAATGTCATATGTATGAATGGATGGATGAATGGCCTTGATGCACAACAGATTTACATTACGAGTAGAGGTGTTGAAGATGTTGTGTATGGAATCGTATTGAATACGCTGGATTGAGGCTTAGACTTTATGTAGTACTACTAGGTACAATACCGGTACAGGTATAGCCACCATACCAAGTGATACTGTGTAATTATACTGCAACGCAAAAGAATAGCGCGATGAATCGAAAGACAAGAGACAGTAAGTACCATACAGTACCGCATAGGAACATCACAGAAATTTTCCTAATGTGAATAATGGAGGAAGAGTGAACCCGAATGAATAATTACCTCCTCAAGAGTCAAGAAGAAGGGACGAAAGAGAAAGGTAGATATATGTATTGTATCCTAGAGGATAGATACTCGTAGATAGAGTGGGTTTAAGGGGTTCAGTAACTTCATTTGTATCATGAAGATGATGTGCTCGAGAGATTCCTCATAGGGAGGGCTCTTGCTCGTTAACTTCAGACGAAAATTTGTTGGTGGTGAAATAAATGGACGAGATGGGTGCTATGCTGTGTATTGAAACGGATTATTAGTTGCTTCAAAAGGCTGAAAAGACTTTTCTTTCCCTAAAAAGTTCAAAATTCTTGAGACATCGTTGGATTTTGAATACAGTACCGGAGATCCAAATTGTACTTTCAAGTCGGTACCGGTATGTATCAACGGATTAATGGGGGCAAGCCCCCAAACCCCCATGGCTCGCTACGCTCGATGGTTTGATGTACCATTTTCTTTCCCTTGAAGCCTTAGTCTGTGAACTGCCGTGACTCGTGGGACTGGGAATACACCGTTCGATTCTAGAACTTTTGGGAATCGCCGTTGATGGAAATTTCCGAGAAATTTCTAAGAAGCAGAAGCAGCTGTCGCGTCCACCAGTTTTTTCCCTGCATTTGTGTTGCTGTATGATGTGTCTAATGCTCATATCGGTAGTGTACTGGATACTTTCTGCATCCCCCTCAAGAGTCAGGACTTCGAGAATCGAGAAGGGGCCCAGATGATGAATGACGAGTTGAACTTTGACGGCTTTTGAATTTATTTTTGTCTGTCGATAGAATTCAAGAATTGAATTGGAATCTGGATGAACGAACTTCGAAGTGGAGGAAGTGGATGAAGTAAGTGGACTGGACTAGAAATTTGAAATGGAAGTGAAACGACCATCAAGAAATGATACTATTCACGTCCACTCTAGTAACTCTAGCGACTTCTAGTGACTTCATATCTATATCAGGAAATGGCGTAGAAGGAATCGAAGAAAAATCTAACGAGTCCAAAGTAATCTCGGGTCCGAAGAATGAGAGCAATAATATAATCAGCCCTGACCTAGAAACCTAGAATCCTTTAACGCTTTCATCAGTGGATAAAATAACGCATAAATCAGAGTCATTGCATTATTCCCATCTTCTCAATTCCCATTGGTTAGATTCTATAGAAGAATTAACTCGATTCGGAATGAAATCCATGGTAGGCGCAGGCGCAGGGACATACTTGCCACGCGTTGGCCGGCGTAATGAAGGCTTTAACGTGATGTAAGTGGCTTTCTTTGAAAGGAAAGAAAATAAAATATAAAATGTGCGAGGGTGCGAGGGTGCGAGGGGTGGCTTGGAACTTGGAACTTGGGAATTCTGAATCTGGTTTTGTTTTTGTGTTTTTGTAATCCAATCCATTTATTGTAAGTAATATGGGTTGGGGAATAGGGGGCTGTGTATGGATTTACGAGGAGCTAAGCCGCTAAGGGTATAATGGATTCTTGGACCCTTGAGGTCGGAGGACGGGATTAGGGGATTCAAGCGAAGTACTGGTTCTAGGTTGGCAATAAGCAATAAGTAGGCGGTAGCTAGGTAAATAATAAGTATAGAATATGTACTACTGGAGTAGATATCTGAATCTTGGATATCAAGAAAGAAAAGATTTAAGTAAAAGAGAACAAATGGGATATTAGGCCATAGAAACTTAGATAGTGAAGTTCGGATACTGATAACTATACAGTTAGGAGGTATCTAGCTCACCTGTTTTGAGAACATCTACTTGAACGACTAGGCCGTGAGCTTAATAGATGATCTAATATCTAATATCTAATAACATCATATAAATCTGAGACGATTGTGAATTCGGTACCGGTACTTGAGATATTTGTATATATTTAGATAGAGAATGTAGAGTTGATCTCAGGTATAGTACCAAGCTCTTTAACAAAGGTTCTTCTCTTTTTCCCTTCCTTTTCTTATCATTATTGTATGACTTATCGGTACTCACTCATACCCCATTCACTTATTATATCTTTATATCCAATCAATATTTCATTCTCTCGACAACAAGATACGAAATACGATACGATATCTCTTACAATTCAGCTCAACAAGCTATTCAATCACATCACTCGAATCCATCAACAACAACTCGTATCGAATTTCATAAAAGTATAAGCCTAGAACTAACTACAAGTACCTTATTACCCATACTATTTCATCAACGAGATATATATGAACCAACTCTACCACCCTTTCAACCGAACCAAACAAATCATTTCATTTCAACTTATTTCGACTGATTTTTGAACGCGCGTACATCTTTTATAGAATTTCCCGCTGATCAAAGCCACCCTTCCCATTCCCCGAGGAAAATTTTAAAAGGATACAATACCTAAGCGGTTCTATTCGTAAAAGGCAAGGCAACTAATAAGATATTCTTCTTTCGCTTCATATTTACACTAGTGGTCTTATTGACTTATTTGACTATTTACCCCTTCGAAAAGAACATCACCTTACTCGAGTAGTGTCTGAAACAACATACAAATCAACCTCAACCTTAACCTCAACATCAACATCAATAAGAATCTCGATATCAAATTACGAAATACAAAAATATAAACATTCTCTCGAATATCAGAAGTAAAGGAGGGAAAGACGGGAAAGGAAGCGAAAGCGGAAGCGGAAGCGGAAGAAAAAGATCGATAAATCATTATCGACGAAGAACAATCAATCAATCAATCAATCATAACAACAACAACAACAATTCATCAACATTCATCCTCTCCTTGATCGCAATCATGAAGTCCGAATCAATTTCATCAACTCCTCAAGTTAATTGTTTGGATCCTCTCGAATTAATCGATTTTACCGATTACGAAACTGTATCATATCATTCACCATCTCTCTCGCCAACTTCCTCAAAGTCACAATTCGTACCAGCATCTTCACGATCATCTGCAGTATCAACTCCTACCACAATACCTTCATCGAATCAAACTTTATCCGGTCCAAGTCATCAATACGATCTTTATAGACAGCAAACTGGTATTCCACAAGGAGCCATCGCAAATACTTTGGCCGTCAACGAAAACAATGGTCACATCAATAGATATAATTATCAAGATCCAACATACTTTTCCGCCATGAGTCCAAGTGAGGAATTTGTGGATTTTGGAACTGCTCCATCTCGCACACCATATCATTCATCGGATGTGGAAATGGATCAAGACCCAGCATTCTTCTACCCTGAACAAAACTTTGTTGACCCAAGCAATATCGCATCGCAAAACTTACCAGTCGGTAATGTTTTACCAACACAACCAAGTCATGTTGGTCGTCTTTGGCCTGGTATGCATCAACAACAAGCTGCTCTTGCCAAAGCTCAAGCACAACAAAAGCAACAACAAGCTATCATCGCCCAACAACGACAAAATGCTATGGCCGCAAATGGTCAGCACCAAAGACAACCTCAACAGCAACGTTCGAGAGCACAAACTGGTACCGATCCTATCGTCGAGGAAAAGATCTCTCAACTTCTCAACTCGATGAGACAAAGTAGCGTGGTTACCGATTGTGATGATGCAAATTCGCAAAACAATATGACACATGTCCACCGTATGCGCAAGGAAGAAGAAGATATGGATGAGGATGAAAGATTATTGGCTAGTGAGGAAGGAAAGAAACTTAGTAGTAAAGAGAGAAGACAACTTAGAAACAAGGTTTCAGCTCGTGCATTCAGATCAAGAAGAAAGGGTAAGCACATCATGATGATTGTAGTTGAAATTACAACGCTAACAAATTTGTAGAATACATCAGTCAACTCGAAGGAGAAATCGCCGTCAAGGTTAACGAGAACATGGAAATCAAGTCACGAAACCGAGCATTGATGGACGAAAATACACGTTTGTCAGATCTTACGAGAATGCTTCTTTCTTCACCGGCATTCTCTAGCTTCCTCGATACTTTATCCTCAAATCCCGCCACTCAACAAGCCCCACCTGCGGTTCAACAAGCTCCTCTCCACCACGAACAACCCAGACAAGTTCGAAAGGATGTCAATCCATATGCCGCTCAACAGCACATGCAACAACAACAACATATCGGTATGGTTATAATACCCGAACAACCTATGGATTTCACCATGCTTGATATCAACGCCGATGGATTTGGTTACCAACCACAAGTATACTCTGTTCCATCTCTCCCCGAGACCATCATCGATTCATCGATTCTTTCCGGAAAGCCCTCGAACCTTATCGGTCCATTAGAATCCGATGATGATAAAGTGGAACTCCCAATCGTTGAGCGCAACCCGGTCTATGAATTTGTACCAATAGCTATTGTTGAGGAAAGTATCGATGAGGAATTCGATGCCGATCCAGCATTCGCTCTTTTCATTGAAGAATCCACATCCACCTCATCAGCACCCACGTCACTCAACCTCAATTTCGACATTGATTTCTCTACTCTGGGCCTTAATAAACCTTCGCATTTCGAATTCATCGTTCGTGATATCGAAAGCGAAAAGAATATCACAACTGATGCTCTCCATAGAGCATCCAAGTTATGTAATAACTTGGACTCGGTGATGGATAGATTAGAAGCCATGTTCCTATAAGGGATATTGAAGGATGAGAGAAAGATGATGGGAGGAAAAACTTGTATTTATTGCTGCGTTTAAGCGTTTCTTTTACCTCGTCAAATTTATTACTATATCTATCTTCTTTTGTTTGTTATTTCTTAGTTATATATATTTATCTTTTCCTTTTACTACCCTGTCAGTCATTGGTTTTTGTTTGTGTGGGGTGGGAATTGGGTTTGTTGGCTGGCTTACTTTGCTGGCGATGATGTGGTAGGGTGAAGATGAAGGGAAGAAAATCGCGCGAGGGGCTGGGCTTGTATGAGATGTGAATGCATCTTGATCTTGATCTTGATGGGGATGAGGATAGGATAGGAATATGAATGCTCAGGGCTGGGCTGGGCTGGGCTGGATTGGCCTAGGTTGACAATACCAACTGTATGTATACTGAGCTAGGATTAAGTTGAAATAAGATAGGATGAGAATCTAATTATTATGACTTTATATTTGGGTATTGTGATATAATATGAACGTTAATGTGAATGTGAATGTGATTGTGAATGCATATGTTTGAATCGAATCGAATCGAATGGAATCGATGGCTATATATGATATGTTATACGTTTGATTTGATTTGATTGGACTTTGAAGGAGGGATATTATAATCTGTGTTGAATCTGAATCAGCTCTTTGGATAATAGTGTTGCGTTCTATGTTGGAGGGAGGGAATAATTCTACAATATACTTAGTGCAACTAATGTTAATAATCTACTCTCTCTCTCTGTTTTAGTCGTGCCATATTGTTTGTTATTTTTACTCCTTTTCTTTCTACTCGTATGACTATCTATCGAATATATATATATATCGATATATTTGTCAATGTTATATGTTATATATTATATATCTTATCACGAAGCAATCTAGAGAGAGATTAGACATGGCCATCGTTCTCATATTCATATTCATATTTATATTCATCTATGCAATAATATGGTATGGTATCGAAAAACACTCACCAAAGATCAAAGCCAAAGGTTAGGTATTACTACTCACCATCCATCCATCTCCTTTTAACAAGCTATTAAACTGATAGACCTGTCTACTCGTCTACTCGTCTACTCGTCTACCATAACAGAACTACGAAGAAGAAGATATAAAGAAAAGCGAGTCCGAACTATATACATCTCTACGTCTGTCTGTCTCTATAATAATTAGTAATATTCGCCACTGTAACTACAACACAACCAAAATCCTAGCATTTACTCGTACACCAAATTTATAACTAATTTATAACTAATTTATAGCCAATAGTATCCAAGAAGTTAAGGAGTCAAGGAGCCAAGGACTCCCCGAAATGAAATTGCTAGTTTTCTTGGGAATAATGAGGGATGAGGGATGGTTGATGGTTGATGGTTGATTGTTGTCCGCCATATACTCGGTGATGATGTCATGGTTATGGTTATGCTATGCTATGCTAGCAATACGCATCGATCTACAAGTAAAGATCAATAGGATCTAACCATATTAATATGCATTAAATATACACTGAACTGGGTAAAAGCATACCACCATATATGTCCATTCGAGTTTCTACAATAGTTTTACCATTTAGTTGTTGTAGATTAGAATATAGAACATAGGAAAAAGAACAGAGAGGCGCTTAATGATATAAAAACACTAATTACTATTTGATAGATTTTGTCATTTTGGTTTCGGCATAGCACGTTTTATATCGATTCTAATTCCATCTTAGTGGAGCAGTAGTGTACTGGAGTATAGATATCAATGGTGATGGGAAATCCAGAAAAATTGGTGTGTATATATTGTATCCTATCTCATCCTATTATATCCTATCCCATCCAATTCTTCTTCGAGTGTGATGTATGATGTTCCTGTCGTGGGCTGAGTCATGATGGCTAGCTAGCTAGCTAGTTGGTTTTTTTTGGCATAGGAAATACAGTACGGTAGGTCAGGTTGGAAGGGGCGATTCTTACTATGTATGACTTGTGTAATATTATGATGGTCATCGGCGAGACTCATCGCTTCGTGATTTCAGGAGCCAAGACTTACAATCTGTAGTTTGAGTTGATGTGTATGTTAAAGATTTGGCATGTTGGTAGGATTTTCCTTTGCTGGATCATATCATGTAATGAAACTTGTATACTTGAGTATATACCATGGTTGTTCCATCGACATGCCAATTCCATACATATATTACACTAATAATCTCCTATCCTATCATATCCTATCATATCCCGCAAATCATCAGTTAAACTACATACAACCTTTCAAACAGCAAGTTTCCTGACTGGACTGCTTCAAACTATTAACCAACTACACTGTCTGAGACCACAACTTTCATCATCCAAATCCGATATTTTGTTCCTCCCAGTTTCCAGTTCCCAATTCCCAATTCTTGCTTCAAGTTTCAAAATGAGGCACAGCAAGAAATTCGAAAATTATGAACTCGAGGGGTTTTGGTATCCTGAAAACTTTTCCTATCATCTCGACGTTTCAGCTTGAGCTTCAACCCAGCTTGGTTTTTGGATCGTTCGTTGGTGCCGTTAGAGGCTTCTTCGTACTCAGGAGACAGGAAGTTTTTGGGTTGCTGCTCCCTGCATTTTTTTTGTATGGGTTCTCGATTCGCTTGCTGCTGGGTTCGCAGTGGTATTCTAGGACTATTATTGTGATGAAGATGTTCTTGTATAAAGTGTATTTAAAGTCCCCTCCTCTTCTTTATTATTACTTCATTATTAACTTGTTCTTATTTG